CCTGTGTGGAAAGTCGGCCTCCTATTGGCTGAGCTTCGCCCATGGCCACTAGGGGGAGACATTATTGTTAAAATATTTTTTTTTAGCATTCCTTCTGGTGGAACAGGCAGTAGCGAGCTTGATAGCTCCTGAGAAAAAAATTCGCCGCAAAAACTGAATCAGAGAGCGAGTCTGGGTTTAGTTAAAAAAAAATCGTTTTCCTTTCACTGGAGTCAAACGTTCTGTGGGTTTAAAATTGTAAACCAGTCTGGCTCCAGGTTGAAAGGCCACGTTAAGGCGAGGGGGAAGGGTTTGTGGCTCCAGATCGCGGGGAAGAAGCAGCCGACGGCACAGAGATATGGAAAGCATTCAAAGCCAGGCACAAAAAATAAAAACAAACATGTCGAGGCTGTTGTGCACTTGGATCCAAATCAGAAGAATAAAACCGATCTAAAAAGGACCTCTTGTGCGGTAACCTGCACCAAAACAGTGCTCCAACAAAACGGGTAAAAACAGAGAAACCAAAGGTGTCGGTGTCGTTTTCTTTGGACCCCCAAACAGGAGGCGTCCCACTGAGGAAACACCACCGCTAACAGAAAGCTGGAAAGCAAAAAGCATCCACCATGCGAGGTCCCTACTAAAAGCTTTACTTTTAATACTTAAAAAAAAACGTTTTGGTGACATTGGTACGGTGGCCCTGAAGTCCAAACCACATTAGCAAATCATTAGTCACAACGACACGTTGAAAAACACAACATATCCCAAACACCATCCACACTTTACAAAAACAAAACATTATTGAGCACCATTATGAATTCACGACACAAAAAAATCTAACAAAACAACAAAATTGCCAAAGTTTTTACGATATCTCACAATAAAACGACAATAAGCAAACATAGAAATAGCTAAACCACATTAACAGAACGTAAGGGGTAGGTCCCACCGGGAAACAAGAAAAATTGCTGATTGGACGGGGCCACTGCTTTTGAACCGGAAGTTAGGGCTGTAGCGTAGAAACGTAATATCAATACATTTTTAATACTCTCGCCACAGCGGCTAAAAAAATCGGTAATATTTCAACTAGCTCTTTTCCGACGCTTAGAAAATACAGAAACGCCGTGACCATTGTCCCACCTATTCACGTGTTGAAAGAGCAAAACCCCACATTTCCGGTTCAAAATCCAAAAGTGGCATTGTCCAATCAGCGATTTCCCAGGTTTTCCCATTAGGACTTCCCTCTTCCGTTTTGTTAATATCGTTGTGTTTTTGTAATTTTGCTTACTTAATATCGTTGCGTTTTTGCAAGATGTCGTAGTGTTTTGGATATGCCACTGTGTTTTTTAATTTGTAATTGTGACTGGTGATTTGTTTATGTGGTTTGCACTTCAGGGCCACTGTCAAATTTGCATTAACTGGACCTGCTTGAGTTTGAAGTGTCAGCGTGAGAAAGATAAAAAAACAAAAAACAGAATAGAATAATAAAGGGGAGTCTGATTCAGCCCCTGGCTTTCCAGCAAATGTGCCATCAATTCTGGAGCTTGCAATACTACACAGACCTACAATTTGCTCAGGAAGTGGCCGATGTGTGGAGCATAATGAGGCAAAGAAGTTAATGTAAAATACTCTGACACAATGAGTCGTTTAAAAAAAAAAAAAAAAAATTAAATAGATAAAACAGAGTGAAACAAAATAGCCTAAAAATGATAACACGAGAACTCTAAATATAATTTAAAAAACAAACAAACATGGAGAGTGGTCTCTTCTTTTAAGTGTAGAAGAAGAAACCACTTCAGTCCTCTCTGTGCAAATGGGTTGATATAAAAGCAGGGTGTGGTAGATGCGTGGTGACTGCTTTTCTGAGGCACAACAACACGATGCAAGAACGACCAGAAGCCTGAAGTGATCTCTGACCCCCCCACCCCCGATCTGATCTGGTCAGGTCCACTCAAACAGATATGTACAACACACAACAATCGCCCACCAGAAAACCACACTGCCTTCCTTCATTGCCACCTAACTGTCATGAACCACATAGTTACAAAAAAATCAAAACTATAACCTCCCAGTTAAAAAACAAAAAAAACACCAGGGCAGCCAGCGGCCAATCACAGGACAGGAAAGTGTTTCTAGGCCAAATAAAAAAACAAGCAGATGACAACAAGCAGAAAACTAGACTGATATGCTGTTATCTCCCTCTGCCACTCCATGTCAAACAGCCCTCAATTTTCTTCATCAAAGCCATTCCCCGATCAGAAACCACCCGAAAAAGTGCCTCGATTCTAGTTCAATTAAAAAAATGAAAAGAAAGAAAACAGTTGGCCACTGACCTAGAAGCACGACTGTCAGCTCGCCCAGCCCGTCTGGGATTTCCAAAACCAAAACTACTAAAATCCAATCAGGCTGTACAGCAAGACAGCAAACGCATAACAAACAAACAGAAAATAATTGATCCATCCATCCATTTGCAGGTGAATTTACAAGGCTAATAGCAGCAATTTTCTTCAAATCATTTTGTGCAATATTCATTCAAACAAAAATTATTCTTAAAAAAAAGGCTTTACGCGTACGAGCATTTCGACATAAATATGAGCTGAGCGCAAAGCTGAGAAGACGCTCGATGGAGGCATCCAGATTTGCTGGGATATCCTTTAACGTGAACAGTCTGTGTAGCTTCCTACACGGTTTGCAGACGGCAAGCTGCGAGGCTAGAGTCACTGACCTGGCGCTTACCTTCCATCTTTAAATCAAACAATCAGCCGTGGCTTTTTGCTCACTTGGTGAGGCAGCGTGGCTTCCATTAAGCACCCTCTCTCTCTCACCCCAGTCCGGTTCGCAAAACGGCAGCTCCTCAGATATTTAGAGTTTACAGCAGCAGAAGCGGGAAAAAAAATCCAAACTTTTGACAGCTCTGGGTAAAGATGCTTGGCAAACCCCCTCATCTCATGCGCTTTCTCCACGCAGCTTCACTCAGAAGCTTTGTGTGTGCTCTCCCGGCTTTTCTAAAGGCCCGTTTTCTCTCTCTCTTCAGAGCGGCTAGTTTTAAGTCCAGTTTTGGTCGCTGACCATCACCAGGGGAATGTGCCATTTGTCGCTGACCTATAAATCCTTCAAGTATAAAAAGAAAGAGGATTAATAGAAGAACCAACTTGGGTTGTGTCCATACAAGCACAACTAAGCAAACTAATCATTCAACTTGGTCTCTTTAGGCAATTTGTTCCCATTTCTTTAGGTACGGCAATTCCAAATACCAAAGATAACTGCATTTATTTTATTTTTTCTAAATCGGCCAGGAGATATTGAAGAAATATCCCAGAGTAATTTTCAGTCTGTGCTTCAAAAGCTTTGAGGAAAGCTGGACCAAGACCTGAGATATGCCTCATCAGAAATGGTCTTCATGGAAGAGGCCGTTCCTAAGGAAGGGGAACGAAAAAAAGAATAAAAAGCTGAGGTACGTCAAGCGACAAAAAACTGGACCAAAGATCAGGTCTGACTGAGGGATGAATCCTCCCTGGAAAACTACTCCTAAAGACCACATGAAGAAATAACACCTTATGGGGTTCAGGCTTTTTCTTTCAAGCTCATAAAAATAAATTGTCCAAACTCCATTTTCCTTTTCGCGCGTTTCAACAAATCTTAGCGCTTATTTCATTCTTTTTTTTTTGTCTGACAATACTGAAGGAAATGAGGGGTCGCCGAGACATTTAAACAGAGCCGTAATTCCTGAAGTGAGTAACAAAGTCACAGCTTTAGTTCGCTCCTCTCATGATGGGATTTTTCATTAAATGTTTTTTCTCCATCGAGAGGGAGGCGTTTCTGCTTGTTGCAAACTGAATATATCACAGAGACATGTGGGCTCCCAAAATGTGACAAAGGGGTTCTCTCCATAACTGAGGTTAGCTAAGACCTTGCAGGCCCGTCTGGAATGTTCAATTTGAATAAAAACTCTTAGAAGGAAAAAAAACAACAACAAACAAACAAACTCCTAGACACGTCAGGAATGTTTAGTCAGTCAGAACCACTTAAAAGTTTACCGTTCTCCCAAAATGCCCAGCGGAAGGTTTTCCTCCTGGCTGGTCAGTGTTCAGAGACTTTAAAAACTCCTCTTTAAACAAACAAAAAAGATAAATGCATAGAATACTCATCTCCTCCAGCTGTGTCCAGCCCAAACTCACTTAACTCGCCCTGCACACGTACTACCGCCCTCTGATCGACATACTGCTGAGAGAGCGCCTCCTATACGGCCCGCCGTCACCTTCTTGGGGGGAAAAAAAAAAACAGAAAAACAATCGACGCCGACCTGACTCTCAAGGAATTAAACAAAAGGCAAAAGGAGAGGCCATTGGCGGGGTGAGGAGCAGCCCTCCTTCTGTTAACCACTAATCCCAATCTGTTCACATCCTGACAACCTCCAGTGCAAAATCTACTTAGAAAGCCTCCCGCTTCGCTCCCGTAGTGGCTTTTCCTGACCTCCGGTGACATCGCTGACTTCACAACACTTGCACGACAACGATACGTATTTACTCAAACTGGGCAATACTACATTTACTAACACACACACACACAAACACACAGACCCCGCCTGATCTTTTCCCCTCTGCAGTCCCTGAGATCACCTCACACTTAGCACAAGGTACTCTCTTCGACAGGAAAATCAAATGTACAGAGAAATAAACACCCACCAGGCTGCGGTGAAGGCACATTCTGGGAGGATTCTATCTTCAAAAGAAAGTTAAAAAAAAAGGAGTCCGGGAGGGAGAGACCAGTCTCAAAGTAAGAGTCAAAGTCTGTGAAGTGGGCCAACAGAGTTGAGGAGAGCCAGGAACTCTGGGACATGGAGTCTCAGGAGACTGCCCAGCGATGATACGCTGGGATGCAAACACACCCCATGTTAGAACCCTGCTGAGGTTTTAATCACTGTGATAACTGTTTTGTTGTTTTTTTTAAAAACTAGATCCACTCAATCACTTACAAAAAAAAAATAGGGCGATTGAAATGTTCCTAAAAAGTTTCCCCATTCCAAATTTAGCCAGACGGCTAACGGAAATAATCAGCAGGGACCTCAAAATGGGGTCGGGTTTGCAGCTCGTCACATCCTTTCGGGCGTCATCTCTGCCGGGTCAAATGTGTTCCCAAATCTTCTTCTGTTGTCTCCTGTTCGGCATTCCCGCTGGCTGCCGTTGCCTAGCATCCCGGCGCATAGCGAAACGCTCCATCCTCGGAATTTTTGAAACTCTGCATGATCGAAAAACCTCTCTGAAAAGTCTCTGTCCTCTGCTTCTGTCGACTTTTCTATGTGTTTCCCAGCTGTCGGCAGCTGTCGGGCGGTAGGTCGGTTTTGATGCGTGGGACCTGTTGCATAGCTGGGAGGAGAGACACGAAGGAGGACAGCGGGGAGCTCATCTCTCCCGCCCTGATCCTGGTTTCCCCGTCTCAGCTGCTCCAGGACTTGCGGTGCTCCGGCCGACGCGCTGCGCTGGACTCTCCTCGGAAGGGGGGGGGGGGGGGGGGGGGGGGGAGCTCCCCGGCCGGCTGGGCGGTCCGATTGCTGCTGGACAGCCGACTGGGGCGGACGAGCACGCCGTGAGCGGGTTTACACTGGAAATACCGATGCCCTCCCACCGAGCCGTCGTTCTTACCTGGAGGGGAGAAAGAAACGCACGGCCCTCAGCTTATTGGCCGAGCAGGTTCGGCTTTTTAGCATCGCTAGCAAACAGGCCTGTTAAGTGGACACCTACCTACAGGAGTATCCAGCTCCACTCCCACCCAAACCCCTCCAGCAAAGTGTGTGGCTCCCACGTAGCGCACCATTCCCGCCTTATTGCTTCCTATTGTGACGTGCGACCCTTCGGTCAGCCAGTCGGGCAGCACGTCGTCGTGACTGCGCTCCTCTTCGTCGGCAAGGATCTCCAGCCTGTCGAGCCCTTCGCCCCCACCTGAGTTGACCAGCCTCTGGTCGGAGGCGGAGAGCTCTGCCGGGGCATTGTTGTGATTGGCTGAGCTGTGGGAAGAAGGTGGGGCCATGGCCGCCGTCTTGGCGCCACACTGAGGAGGAGAGGTCACAACATCGTTCCTATCAGCGCCCTGTGGCTGAGGGTTCGCATGGAGCGTGGTCTCAGCACCCAGCAGAGAGGAGGACGAGGAGGAGGGTTGGAGGACGTCAGACAGGGTTACCGTAGAAACGCTAGTGGAGAAATAACCGCTTGATGACTGGCTGAGGGGGCTGAGGGGGGTGATGTCATGCGGGTCATGCACAGGAAGAGGAGGGACCTCCGGAAAATCTGTCCGTCTGTCTTTGGCCGGCGGCCGTAGGACAGCCGCCTACAGGTGCCCGGCGGTTGCCACGGCAGCCGAGGGACAGGCGACAGCATGCAGAGACAACAAGGCAAAAAAACAAAATAAAAAACAAAACAAAAACAAAAGACATGACAAACAATAAAAATCAACTTTCCCAAAAGTTTACAACAAGTACATTTTGAACCAACAGGGTGAAAAGCTTTTTTTTTAAAAACGTTTTGATCCGTTCACTAACACATTTAACTTCCCTTTTAACAATATCTGTATCCAGAACGACTGGCTGAGATTCATCATTTGACTTAATAAGATGAAAAAAAAACGAATAAACTGCAATCACAAATCATAATATTTAAATCAATCACATCAGGAAGTAAAAATTGAATAAATGGAATAGACAGATTCCACGTAGATATAAACATGCTCTTGGTGCCTTTAGGCCTTTATCTACTGTTACTGTTTTCTGCCATCATTGTTGAGATTGCTCCTTTAAAATTGCAACTACTGTTAAACTGAGTAAGGTAAATTAATAAAAAACAACAATTTAAATAATACGCCAGTGAAGCCGCTTGCGGGGGCAGAAAGCCATTTTTCAGACACCAGCGCTGTTCAGGAGAACATCTGACCACTTAGTAGAATAAATACAATGATTCGAGGCATTTGAATTTGGTCAAAAAGAAGAAAGAAAAAACTAATCAAGTGACCATTAGCAATAACTAATCCGTAAAGAGGTCAGCATAGACGGGGAGGAAGGAGAGGTGTGAGCTCACCGTCTCGGGCTTGGCCCTGCCGTCGTCCCCGCCTGATGATGTCACGATGCGTGGTACGTGCTGCTGAGTGACAAAAACACGAGGGGTAGAGTGAAGGTAAACGGCAAATTCCAGTGAAACAAACAAGGCTGTGCATAGACGTGTGCTGACCTGCTGGTTGTGCGGCGAAGGTCTGAGCTCCTTCTTCTCGTCACGCGCCGGAAACAGAGACTTGAGCAGTTTGGGCATCTGAGGAACCAGGGCTTTAACTGAAAGATAAGAGGCAGCAAGCCCTGAACGACCTGGGGGGGGGGGGGGGGGGGGGAGAGAGAGGGGGAGGGGAAAAAAAGGAACAGAAGAAAAAGAAAAAAGAAAAAGGAGGAGGCAAAAGAGAGGAAAAAAAGCAAGGAAGGAGGTCCGGGAGGCAGAGGAGGTGTGACAGGATTAAGACAGAAAGTTGAAAGTGTGTCCAGAAAATGGCAAAAAAAACCAACACAGTGACAGACAGAAAGACCAAGCTGCCCATCAAACACACCAACACAGATGTCTGAATTAGCAGATACTATCTCAATGACAAAAGAAAAAAAAAACTAACTCTAAAATCAGTTGAACTAAAACTAATTAGTATGAATTACTCCACATGACTTGTATGTATATTTTTTTCTAAAGGACATGGCAGCGACAAAGACAAGAACTCACAATCAATACCTGATAAAGAATATTCACAATGATCACACAAACATTTGGCCACCATGAAGAAAGATGTATTTGCAGAAAGAAAGCAAAATGGATGGATGAATAAAGAATCAGTAGATAAGTTTTATACGTCTAATGAGAAAGAAGGCAGGCGAGTGTACAGACAGTTTTCTCCCATAAAAAATAAAGAGACGTGATATTCAAGGGGCAGAAGTGATGGGAGGAAAGAAGAGCTGTTGTCATGGATGATCCCAAGAAGAAAATTAGATAGAAAATAGAAAGTAAAGCCGGGAGAGTTCGTTTACCTTGTTCTGGGTCCTGGCTCGGCTGTGGGGGGCCAGAGGCAAAAGGAGTAGGGGAAGAAGTCGGGGAGGTGGAGTAGGTGGACGGGGAGGAGGCTGGACGCGGGAGGGTGCGCTGGAACTGAGAGGGTGTGAAGATGTCCTGCTGACTCTCCCAACGTCCCTGAGAGGCAGAGACAGGGTTGATGGCACGTTGTGTAAAAACCAAAGATGTGTGAACAGATGTGTCCCTGCTTCACATAAGCAGGAGGCCGTGGTGTTAGAACCCACAGAAAGACAAAATATAGCCTTTCCAGGACGACTTACCTTATCGTCCAGCAGGCAGGTCGTGGACAGGTCCTGTCTGCTTCCTGACAGCTGAGAGATGGACCAAACAGTGAGTGCAAAAATATGACCCTGTCACAGTGTCACCGCATCATGTGATGGAGCATGTCTTTACCCTGTGTACAGAAGGAGAGCTTAAACTCCGTCTGTTACTCCTCCCTCTTCCTGCTAGCTGCTCCTTCACTGCCACCTCCTGCAGGGAAGCACGTCACAGAACATTGGATCACATAAATGCTGTTACCGAAGATCTGTTTTCATATAAATACATATTCATATACATATACAAGGTCCACAGAGTCTTAAGTTACCTGTCTGAGTCTGTCCAAAGTCAGGATGTTCTCCAGACTCATTACACTACGCAGATATTTCTCAATAGCTGCTTCGCTGTCGGCCGACTGGCTGTTTTGTGCACTTGCAGCGACCCGGGCCAGCATCTCTCTGTCCTCAGAGCCTGGAGCGTCCTGTTTTGACAAAGCGTGATTAAATCAAACTAAAAGGAAGACTAAATGTCAGGTGCTTTTTATTTTCCCACCCCTCCGGCTCACTTCGGGAATGTTGGACACCACCTCGAAGGTGACGCCGCAGCCGGGTATGGTGCTTCGGGTGGACATCCTCCTGAGGAAGTTGTGGGCGAAGCCTTGGCGGCCCGGGTTGACGTTGACGCAGATCCTCTTTCTCAGCACCAGCTGCATGTCGGCTGGGTGGCTGAGCTGAACCACCACCCGGATCGTCAGGTAGACGCGCTGCTCTGGCCAGGCCCCTCCACGGCTGAGCTGGGGACACTCGTGGACAGTGGAGTCCCAGGACGCCTCCGCTTTCACCTTTGGGTCAATAATCATAGTCACTTGCTGTGACTCACAATCATGGTCACTCCTTAATCAATTAAGTTTTCAAATTAGCTTCACATGTCTGAAAAGGAGCATGAATACAAATCTACCACAAAATATTAAAAAAAATTTTTAAAAATGGACAAAATTATCATAAAAATACAACCAATATTCTGAATGGTTTACATGATGACACACGAAATTACAAAAAAAATACATCAATACCTTTTGGTGCAAACAGAGAAAGGACACAAACAACAACAACTGACTCAAAAGAAGCTGAGACAGAGTAATGACAGCAGAGAAACATAAGTAGAGACTTAAAACTATTTCTATTGACCGAAAAGTTCTATGTGGACAGAGTCCACAGGGGCATTAGAAAAAAAAGGTCAAAAGACGTGAAAAATAAGAATGTCAACATTTTTTATTTTCCCCACATTTAAAATTGGAAAAAACTCTTACTTTTGGAAAAACTTATTTGAAAAGATTTGCTTGTGGGTTCTTACCTCTCCATCGTAGTGTTTGACAATCTGTAAGTCAAAGAAGTCATCTTCATCTTCTCCGCTCAAGATGGCGTCCCAACCTCCGGCCTCGGGCACCTCAAACTGATCTTGAGAGCTAAGGTCGTCAGCTGAAGAAAAAAGAGAAAACATATTAGCAGGGAAGAAGACGCAGGCATACGAAACTTAGCAAAGTTCCTTACGTTTGAGGTCCAGGAAGAGGACAGGGATGTGTGTCTCCATGCCAGGCAGAGGAACCCTGTGAACAGAAGCTTGTTTTAAACATTTACTAATGAAAAAAAAAAAACTAAACAAAAAACTACAATTAAAAAAAAAAAACATCGCACCATTCGGCCGGAGCTCCGGGGATGCCGCTGCCAGCAGAGGGCACCATGACTGCATTTCTCTCCTCTGTCAGAGTCAAGCGCCACTCCAGCAGCTGGGCCTCCCTCTCCATGTCATCCTCTGTTTTTTCTGCACACACACACACAGACACGGTAAACACCTCCTTCACTGTGAACCAGTTAAAATTAGCTGGCCTCGTTCTGCACACTGCAGCTCTGCTCCTCCTCACTGCGACAGAATTTGGGGTGGGAATAATTTGCCTCCTCGCGTTACCTGCTTTGCTAACCAGGCTCTGCAGGTGCTGGTCCAGGTATTCCTGTCTCTTGGTGAGAGCGGCCAACCACTGCCGCCGTAAACGTTCCAGATCTCTCTCCTACTCAAGAAACCTCGTGGTCAGTTTCTGCTTCATCCGAGACGCCTTTGAATATGAAAAATTGGCTGAGCTGTGCTCGGCCGTGTACCTGATAACTGTCCATCTCGTCTCCTTCCTGGTTGGCTGTGGCGGTCGTGATCTCCACGCTGCCCACCGACACCGCAAGCAGGATTTCCGCTATGAGGGGCATTGTGCCCGAGTCCTGAACAGAGCGCACGTCGACCTGGATCCGTCTCGACTGACCCTGCGGGTAAAAAGGGAGAGACAGCGTGGCGTGATGGGGAGCTGTGTTATATTTAAAAGAAGACTTAACAGGTTGACGGCAGTAATTGGGGTTCTCGTCCCTACCTGCCGAAGCTGGAAGATCCCCCCGGTCCGCACATCTCTGGCTGGAACCACCTCCACAGGGACAAAGTCTCCGTTCTCATTTATCTCCAGGATTTGGATCCATAGCTCCAAGCGCCGCGTGACCTCACTCCACCTGCAAACAGCAACGCCATTTATGCGGTTCAGATGCGTTTTGATTCAGAGTAGAAATTGTGAGAGTGTGTGTGTGTGTGTCTATGTGTGTGTACCTGTCTCGCAGTGTGCGCGTCTTGGCTTGGATGATGCTGAGGTCCCACAGGGCCGGGTTTCTCCCTGCGTCAGCTTGCCTGTGTCCGTACACCTCGATGGCGACGGCCCCCTCTGTGAGGTACTCAATGAAATCCTCCGTTATGGACACTGCGAGTTCCTGCAAAACCCAAAGGGATGGGGCCCAGCCTTTTTTAAAAAGCGCCACAAAACCTCTTTGCATGTTTGGGTAAATATTTTTTTACACACTATGAGACATAACAAATCCGCCCTCCAGCCCCCTCCTGTGATCACCTTGCAGCTGTCAAACACCACCATGCAATGAGGGTCCTTGGAGCTGGACAACGAGGACGAGGTATCGACCTCAGGAGCCACGATGAAGGGCTCAGCCTGGTCCCAGAAAGAATACTGGCAGAAGACGAAGTTGGAAAGGTACTGAGGTAGTCCAGTGGCTTGCAAAATCTTAATCTGCGGAGGAAACGGGAGACCAGAGATTATCCAAATTTGAACTCAACACAAAAAAAAAAAAATCAACAGTCACAGTAGACTTAGACTTGTAATTTATTGATCCCTTGGGAAGACTCCCTCAGGAAATTAAAGTTACCAGCAGCTTACAGGGCAAAAAAGTGGCACACAGAGAGCAAAATGCAAAAAAATACAGATTAAGTACAGAGTGATATGGTAATTAAGGATGCTGTAAAAAGGAGTGTCAGAAAATGATCCCAAACCACTGACTCACCATGCAGACTAGTTTTCGATCCTCAACTTCAGAGTCCTGGTTGTTGTCAGCTTCATCTCCTCCGGCCATGTTGTCTTCCAGGCCCCCGGCGACCCTCACCACCTCCACGTGCAACCGTCCCGCCACCTGAACAGAGCGTAGAAAGCTGCCAGTTTGTTCAGCTCTACAGCCATTCATTCACTACTTGGACGTTTTACTGGAGCCACACAGTTCAAATAAAAAATAAAAAAAACTTCCACCATCATAGATGCTCGAAACAAAGAGCCTGCTGGTCCTAACATTTTACTCTCACTTTCAACTCAGTGAAGCTGAAAAAGGGTTTTAAAGAATGAAGTTAATGACGACTGAAGCTTTACCTCTCCCTTTTGGTTGATGATTGGAATCGCGTACTGCAGCTTGACGTCGTAGAACAAACAGGAGAGGAAGACGTTGGCGACGCCGATCAGGCTGTGGTTTTCTTGCTCGTCAAAGAAGGGATCCGCTCGACGGAAATATGAGCGCATCACCTGGAGAGCGAGCGGAGTTTTAGAGAAGGAACAAGACTCCAGTGAGCCGAGGTGGGCACATGGTGGCGTTCTCACAGGGTTGTCCTGATGATGCAGGTGATATTCTTGCCATTCCTGGTAGAGCTCCCTCATGTCCACCAGACGGTTCTCCATCTTCTCCAAACTCCAGATCTGCTTCCCTCTACACCGTCGTCGGACCTGGATCGCCGGTTCGCTGAGCACCGCATCCCTCTACAGACACACAGGTGGCGTTTAGATTTGTGGCTGTGAGTAGCTCGGAAAGGGCAACGAGGCGCAGATTTTTCATGTGCAGGGAAACCTTGCGGTTGGCGTTGAGGTTGTCGGCCGGGATCTGAAGGGTCACTTTGTACTCGGTGTGGCGTTCCAGCTCGTCGGAGATGAAGCAGGCTTCTTGCACCAGGAGGTTTGCCCTCACGATCTGCTCCCTCAGCCTCCGAAGACTCCTCACAAACACCGCCTCCCTGCAGGACAGGAAGGGGAAGATCAGGGAGGATGAAATGTCAAACAATGGTGGAGGAGTCTTTAACTAGCTTTCTGATTGTTTTGATCCTCCTCGTAAACAAAACATTTTTTTTTTAGCACAGATTGTTTACCAAGCCATCTGTTAATTCCTTGAGTTATTATGGAAAGTGACTGCTTGGAACTTGAAAATGGAACACACACCCACCTGTCCTCACTCCACTGCCTCAGCCTGCTCTGAGCGCTAGCCGAGTGGCTCATGCCTCCCATGCTGAGTCTCTCAAGGCTGCGGTAGTGCGACTGTTGAGCCGATCCTTGCTGGCCTGACATTTGTCCTCCTGACTGACCCATGGACACGCGGTCTGGGTTGAGCTTCTTCCGCAGCTGCTGGAGCTCTTGCTCGTACATCTGCCTCTGCCGCTCCAGAGCCGAGCGCTTCTCCTCCTCGTGTTGCCTCTCCAGGGACTGGAGGACGGCCTGCATTGGGTCTGAACAGGCAGAGCGGGTGAGTCGCGGAGATCAACGTTCGGCCTAGTTTTTTTCGTCGCTTTTCGCTCACCGTTGTTGCCCAGGGCCTTCATCATGACCTCGGTCTGCGCGAACTCGTAGGAGAAGCTGACCTCACTGGACACTTCGCTGGCGGTGTCGCCGTCTGCATCCAGTTGCTCACTGCTGCTACTGCTCTTCATCACACCACCTTCCCCCTCCTCATCCTCCGCTGCACGCGATCGCCGCTTTGGCAAATTGATCCTTAAACACCAGAAAGTGAAAGCGCTCCACTTTAAATGACATCCTCCATCTTCTTGATGGATGGCACGAGTCTCATTTTATGACTTTTAAGTTCATTACATTCTCAAATCCCCACAGGTTACCTAAAGAAGTGGTTGTTTCCCCACAGGATTCTGTCGCCGTGGTGAAGCTGTAAACCGCTGGTTACTGGAGACCCGTTAACACATGTCCTGCCAACAACAGAAATATAGTCGATTCATTAGCTGAGGGAGTCTTTTGGAACTCTGTCTAGAGCAGGATTTGTACACTACTATCCCCATCTGAAGTGAGAAAACACCTTTTAATCCAAAGACTGTTTTTCCTGCCACAGAGCTCACTTCAATTAGCTTGTGCATATATCAGTCTGTGGCTGTGTTTGCAGGGCGCTCCTTACCGTGCATTGGGGTAGGGGGTGAGGATGACTGCTGACTCTGCTGTGATGTCAATGACGCAGTGCTCTGCCTGGATACCCATTCCACACAGCTGGATGTCCTGGGAGTCCACGGAGCCCACTTTGGTGTGGTCCTACGAGACGAAGTTCTAGGCGTTACAAACACTGAACACGCTGCGGTTTGTAAAATGTCTGCATTAGAAGCTAAACAGCTGACCTGAGCTTTAATTTGACAGACTCTAAATACAACTGGTTCTTCGTGAAAGTTGTTTTGAACTTCAAATATTTTTCACAGTGAGTGCCAGCAAATGCAGAGTTCACACACATTCCCCTCTAAAATTGAAAGTTTTTCTCCAAAGTTTTAAGAAAGAGCCAAAATGTAGACGTTTATGTAATGGTTTTGAAAATGAATGCTGCATTGTTACTATGTGAGCCGCTATCCTCCACTTTCCCACTGTATATCACTTTTAACAAATAGGGATAAAAACAAACTGACATAAACCATCTCTTAAATGACAAACTTACAAACAAAATTGCAGCATAGTAAAGAAGATGTATAGAATTATTGCTATAAAAAGGAAACTTCTCTTGTACTGTCTGAACAGAAGTCGAGTCAATTCGACTTGGTTTATTAAAGGTTTGTTACTGGAAGCCAAGTCCTACTATTTTCATGCATCAAATGTTGTTTTTACAAGAAAACTTAAAAGTCCCAAGATTCTCCATGAATCCATCATGAGCGAGTGTTTTTCATCTCCTGATTTGAAAAGGAAAACAAACAAAAAAAACTACTTTTTCTGAGCCAGAACGTTTGGCTAAATGAAACATTTTCTGAAAGCCACTCTTTTGCTTCTATATTACACGTTTTTTCCAAATAATATTACAGCCCTAACTACAGTTGTCTAACTGACTGTGATGCTCGTATTGTGAAACTGTGGCTACATATTAAAATACAGTGTGCCACATATCAGGGCTGATGAAACACAAATAGGCAACACGTTAGAAAGTGATGATCTTTGTAAATATAGACATTATGTTAAAAATAAATTAATCAAAGCAGAAGGGTAAAGGGTATATATAGGTGTGTTTGTACCTTCAGGTAGTACACAAGCAGCTCATTAAGGGCAGGATCAGCATTAAGGTTGACAAGAAAACTCTTATCATCTCCAACTTTGATCCCTGAAGACTGCAGAGAAATACCCAGACTCTCCAGCTGCTTCTGACGCTCCTGTACACAATAACACATACATACATAAAAATATAATTTTTATGCGTTTAAAAAAAAAATCCAAAATTAAAGTGAAATATTAAAGATAATACAGGGATCGATTTAAAAAATGGCCAGCAGGTCGTGTTCGAATCCCCTCCTACCTGTGCAATCTCCTCCGTTTTGCGTAACTTCTCTTCCCAGGTGATGGTCATTTCTTGGATTAACTTTTCAGACTCTTCCAGACGATCTTTCAATTCTGGAGCTTTTAAAGACTGTTGATGAAAAAAGATCAGTTAGCAGATAAAAGCCAGGAAAAAAAACAGACAAACAAATGAGAACCCAGGCTTTAAACGTGGCGACATCCAAAGCTGTGATGATATTCCACCTCTGCTTGGGTCAGCTGCACTCGGAGCTTCTCCACCTCCTCCCTGAGCTCCCTGATGATGCGAGCGTTGGGGTCTTCGTTAACGACGGCATGGTTGACGATGCTCTTTGCCCGGTCAGCGTAGCGCAGCGTGGACAGGGTCTCCTCGTAGTTGTCTGCCGCTGGGCTGACCGTCGCGACCATGGCCGTGCGGCTGTTTCCCCCCAGGCAGTCCTACAGGCAGGCAGACAAACGCAGAGGCTCTGACTACCAGACAAATGTTTACCGAAATCAGAAAGCAGAGATAACGCGCCAAGCGGTCAATTAGGTGGTGGCCGTTTATGGTTACCTTCAGCAGCCATGTTAGGACCGAGTCTCTGTAGGGAACAAACTTGGTTTTGTTCTTGGCGGTTCCCTGTTCAGCCAGTGCAGAGATCACCAGACCGAGTGTAGTTAGGGACCTAGTACACAAACACACGCAAAAACCCCTTATGTAGTCTTTTTGTCACATTTTTCAACAATATCCTGTTTGCTGAAATGCATTCTTAACAAGTTTAGATACTTTTAGATAGAGTTTATATACTTTTGTACATAGTCCCACTTCTGTATTATGGGATTGATACTTTTTGAACTGCTCAAATTTCCCCTTTGTGGTACAAATAAAGGAGTATTTTATCTTATCTTATTTAGATAAAACAACCCCCAAAAAAACCCAACGGGTCCCATGAGCGAGATGACAAAGCTCAGAGTGTTCTGCTCACTTGTTGATGTTGCTCCCCTCCTTCAGACGTTCTCCTGCTGCTCCAGTTTTGGCTGCTCGCTCACTTCCGGCCAGGTCCACCAGACTCAGACGGCTCACTTTCTCACCGCTCGTCTAAAGAGCAAAAATGAAGAAAATAGAATTTTAAAAGATTGAATAAAATAAAAAAAGTTAAATATTTGATGTACTTAATCGTAAAAGCAGCCCGGAAGCGCTTGAATGTTAATAAACCGCGGTGCAAAGATTAAAGCATGGATCAGAAAAGCAAATGTACAAAGTGAAGAGGAGTGGATTTGAAAAAATCCAGAACCTTGGGGCATTCCACACTCCTGTGGTGTTGTTCAGATGAATGAACAAGAAAACACAGAGTTGAAATGGATCTTTTTGTTTCAGTCATTCCTGTTTTTAGGGGGGTGGGGGGGGGTGAAGAGAACAAATGAAGCTAAGAGCTGCTAACATGAAGGAGTTCCAGCTGGGGGCTTTCAGCCACACCTAAATTAGGGAAAGTCTTTTCCAGCCATTGTAAAATGCAGATTAATTCTCTCCATGTTCAGTTGTGCGGCCTGTGCAAACATTTAGTGATTTTATATGTGATGCTTTAGTTCTTCCCGATAGCCTCCCTCTATGCCTTTCTGAGGCCCGTTAAGCAGGAGGATATCATATCCCCATCTGTGACTGGTCTGCAGCTGACAAGGTGAACACCTGATCGGCGCCCGCTGTGAGGCCAAAGCAGAACATCTGCTTCGCATCAGCATTTGTTGCATCTATGCGCAGGATCAGCTCAATCCAACACCATATCACACACGTATCGGGGGTAAGGTGTCCCGTTTATTGACCGTGCACCAGTGGTACATTAAACCTGAAACTCTTCCAGTGAGGTTTTTGAGACTCCACAGGCACATTCCGCAGCTCTGCCATTGACTTAGTAGTCCAATAAATTCAGCCACTTCTCTGTTCACAAATCCACATGGAATTCACACTTTCCTACAGTGGTAAAAAAACAAAAAACAAACAAATCTAAAACCTCTCTCAATCCTCTCTCCTCCCTCTGGGAAACACAGAAATAAAGTGGCCTTTGACATATGGAGCAGCATAAATGTTTGCGAGGGAGGTTTTCAAGGTATTTAGGTGGAATAAGCTCAAAAGTTGACCCCTGAAAATACAAAGAGAAGAGACGCATGACAGACCAGCTATGGTGAGAAGTGATGCAGACCATCCTCAAAAACCAGTACAACTTCCATCCAAATGGGAGTTAACTAATGAAGAGATACGAATCCATGAATCTCTTCACCTTTACAAAAGGAGCTTTATGATCAACCATGACAGCTCTTTACTTTACACAGACAACATTTTTTATCTGACAACAGTAGACTTACTGGGGTAAACATCTACAGATGTCAGGTCTAAGCATACGGCCGAGTTGTAGTTCCACCAGCTGATGCTGTGTTTTTTTTTTGTCTAAATAAGGGACTCTGACCAGACTGGTTAACATGTGAGTCAGTAAGCAGATCGGCTGGAAGGATATAGAGCATGGCAACATACTTGGCAGCAGCTTCTAACGGAACAGTGGAACCGCCTAGGCTTCAACATGCAGCCACATACAGTGAGCAGATAAAACCTATCTGGGTCCATTTCTTTCCATCTTTATACGCTCCAAAAGCATTTGGCAAGAGACAGAAAAAAAATCTGCAAACTGACTGACTGCAAACAAGACCAAAGTGCAATTGGAGTGAGCACTGAGTAGAGAGCTGTGTTAAAACCACTGAGTAGGGCAGCATGACTCATCCTGCTGGTGGTGATGCTCCTGCCTGTCAAAGGTTACTTTGTTTAACGTGTCTCTCAGTCACTGTTCTTCCCTTACCATCAGCCATTCCATTAGGAGGCACATATGAACTCTCTCCCATGGCCCTGAAATACTTCCAGGTACTCTTACTGTACAGCAATTGCTTTGTCGGGCAACATAAAGGCAAACATCTCTCATTTTTGCTTCTCTCCTGGTCTACACCATTCGGTTTCCGCAGTTAGTTGAGCCCGATGAGCTTACTGACTGACCAACTTAGAGACTGGTTCTGGGTGTGTGCTGAAAACAGAGCGGGGCAGTATCAGCTGACACACTCGCAGTCACGCCTGTGAATTATTAACAGGATCCTGTGGAAGCAAGACATAAGAGCAAGGAACGGGGAGGGTAAATCGGGTCGGCAAGAATGGAGAATTAGTCACTGAGATCTTTTCTTAGAGGGCCGGGTCACACTGCTGGGCTGAGATCATCTCATTTGGCAACTTGTTCTCACTCCCTGATGGGAGAGGATGAGGTCCAAAAGGAAAAAAAAAAAACACTTTCCAGGTACTGTTGCATAGATGCAAAGCAAAAACAAAAACATACCTTGGATATACAGTATGAACTTACGGGGAGTAAAATGACCAGAATTTTGCCATTTTACCATTACGGTACCTAAAAGGTTTTTGAGATACATTTCAGCTGCTTCCAACAGAAAGAACAGTATACCGTGTCAGATTTAGTGTGTAGGGCTGGGGACGGCCATGGTTCATGTTCTGCCTTCCAGAGGAAGTGCAGGCTGAGTCACTGTACAAACAAGTGCCCTGTCCAAAACCGTCCAACTCCACGTGAGGGAAGAAAAAAAAAGGACTGGTGTCTGCCCTGTGCTGTTTGAGCGAAGCTTAACACAAGAAAAGACTAATGTGAGACGAATCATGAGATCGCATGAGCTCAGCTTAATCTGTGGGTAAAAAATTTGAGCCCAGAGTGCATTTCTACCCCAAACAGATTGACTTGAGACCTTTTAATAAATCCTCTATGGTGCGTAACACCTGCTGCAGTTCAGCTTTTAAATTTATTTGATTTTATTTCTTTATGAGCTGCAATCTTGCTTTATCCACATGTGTGTCTGTGTGTGCGTCTGTGTGTGTGTGTAAGTATATCTCACCCCGGAGTGTAAATCTTTGAGCGTGTGAGTGAGGATGATGTTGAAGACAGCGTGTGACCGGCTGCTCTCCTCGTTCATATTGGTTGCGGCAACGGTGCGAGACTTATTCCCCTCTGACATCAGAGACCCAATGTCCTGAGAAATACAAACAATGAAGACAGGTCTTATCGACACTACGGTGTATTCATTTCACCCAATTGGACACCCTCCTTTAAATACCACTCATGTGCTTCCCAGTAATACACAGTGGTTCCTACAGAGACAGGATCTCTTTGTGGGGAATGGCCTGTGCTTTTTGCCTATATGTTCATAATAATTACATAACATTAGATGCCTGATTTTTTTCTTCTTCAATCCAGATTCCCACACCTCTCAGTCTCCTATTGCTTTGATGTTTTAGTTGGAAACTAAATGTGCAGCATATTCTAGTCAAAGTGATGAACATCTTACCTTGTAGCTGGCCACTGCCAGCCGGGATAGGCCGTCAACATAGGGTCCCAAAACTTTATGCTCCCTCACCCTCAGTGTCTGCCTACCCCTGGGCACAAAACCAAAACATGGTTACCATTAAGGTAATCACTTTGTGTCCTGTGTTTAAGCGAGGGTCAGAGAACAGGCACGGCTCACTCTGGTGATCAATGAAGACAATTCACACATACTTTATAAGCACTTGGCTCTCTGACCCTGATTTTAACAGGCTCTAGGCCTGAGAACATCATTATTAGTGGATCCACAGCAGGAGCGCATATGGCTGTCAGATGGCACTCTTCTCTTTGGCCGCTTCTACTGAGGTTAAAGGTTTTGTACAGAGTGAGAGTCAAAGGTCGTGGCGTCTGGGGCAGCAGACGGGGTCCACCAGTTCTGATTTATTGCTGACCCGCTGGACATTAACTGGCCTCAATCGGTGAACGGCTGCTGATCTTTTTATCTAGCGACCACAGCACACCACAGCTTCTGATTTATTGGCTTACTTGGACTATGTTAAAGCTAAGCCAAGTTAGCCATTGATCATAAGACCATATTAAGTGTGTACCAAAACCCAAAAATATGATTTGACACCAAGAAGAGCAAAACATTGTCAACGCAGAACATAATTAAGTTAATGTTCCCTGTTTATTTTTTTGTTTATGTCCCTCAAAGCCCACCAAGTAGATTTTCATTAGGAAATTAAGCCAACATAAGTCAACATTTCCTCCTGCTGATTCAATGCTATCCATTTGGTTGAAGGGTTATGCTGTAAATCAGCAACAAGGGGCTGAATCTGCATTAACAGGATACAGACATTGTGAGGACAAAAGCTGGACGGAAAGGATATGAACAGTGCTGAGGAATGAGCTAAGTCTGTAAAATCAATATTCTATTGATTTTCCTTCGGCTCAGGGAGGAGAAAATGAACAAAATGCATAAGGAAAAGTGAATTTTTACGTTTTTTTAAAAACAGAAATAATTCATCAACCATCCTTGTATTTAAAAAAATCAAATAAAATAAATAAGAGTTGGTGACTGTGCTCGTACCCTTTGGGGTCCAGCAGGTCTCGGACCTTCTCGTTGTAGATCTCCATGTAGGACACCTCAACAGTGAAGCTCTCGTCCTCCCGCTGTTCCTTTTGGGTTCGCTCGAACAAAGCACTGCACAGGCGAGGAATCAGGCCAGGCTGGTCCCCTGAGCCCATCATGGTGTACGACTTTCCCGAGCCTAGAAACACCATCACAACACACACACACGTTAAGACATTTAGCTGAGTTCAATTCAAACACTGCTTGTAAAATAACAGAACATTGCCAAATTTGAATTTACCCCTTTTATAGGTTGGAATAAAATAAAAAAAACCGAGTGAAAGTGAATGCCACAAACTAGAGCTCGTCGTTTAACGTATTTATTGCATGAGACTTCAACTTTGACTTATTTTATTGAGGCGTTACACATAAATCAAGCCGAATTTAATTCTGCTGAAAGTTGGCAAAGCCAACGCTGTAAACAAATCGAATACAAGATAATCCTGTTACACGCCTAGCTGATGGAACAGAAGTCGGTATTCTTAAATTGATATTTAGTTTCTGGCGAGGACAACAGTTGACCCAGACTCCAGATAAAACTCAATCAAGCTGATGCTACTCTGATAGCTTACAGACAATTGCACAGAGAAAAAGTAGGTGGGACTTTAAAACACAGTCTGATTAACCTCTGCGGTTTGCCAGCCCTCACAGTAAGCAGATTCATCACAGAAAAAGTGAGGTGTTCAACAGTCAATTACCAGTTTGTCCATAGGCAAAGATACAGGCATTGTAGCCCTGAAAGGCATTGTGGAGAAGACTTTCCCCAAGGCACTGGAACACCACCTCCTGACCTGCAGGGAGGAGACACAGCCACAGTCACCATCTATGCAGTTATATGTAGAATTGAATGTACCGCATCACACAGTCAGGCTGCATTTTGAATCTCAAAAGACACAAAACGCATACAAAAAAAAAAATTTAATCTACATTTCCTTTGCACTCACCAGCAAAATTTTCCTTATCCGTCTCATCCATGGACCAGAAGCAATAATCATAAGCAAAGACCTAAAGAAGACAGAGAGAGCAGAGTGGGAAACGCAGGGGCCCATTAGAAATGTTGACATACAGGGCAGCGAGCTGGCTGAAAATACCATTGACAACGATCAGAACGGAGTGTGTTTAAAGTCAGCATTTTTATATGGGAGACATTCACCGCTTTTTAAATCATCACTGTGTTGTTGCCTGCGTGGCCGCACATGGCCCCTAAACGGAGCTGCAGAAATACAGCGGCGTCTTTGTATCACAGAGATGATTCACAACCATGGAATTAGTTCAGTGTTGAAAACGTCTGCTTGAATGTGTGTGTGTGCCATTACCTTGGACTGACTCCTGATGATGAAGGGCGGATCAAGGACCATGGGAGCATGTGGGAGAAGACACATGACATTTAGAGCTCATTAATACGCATAAATCAGTCACCAAGAGCTAACGTTTGATTGTTTTAGTAACATGTCCTGAGCCTAAATCAGAGTCAGAGATGGAAATTTAGACATGTATACGCATGAAAGAAAAAAAAGACATGTACACACAGAGGTATAATCTGAATTAAAGCCTCAAGACTTTCCTTGTTTTGATGAGTCATCTGAAGGCACAACTGATTGATTGTAATGTCTGTGTGTGGATTTACAAAAAAAAAAAAAAAAATTTGCCATACGTCAAAAACAAGTCCTCGCTGGATGCGGTGCGGGTGTGTCTATGGGTGTCAGAGAACACACTGTGCTTATCTCTGACAGTCTGGTGAGTTCTTCTAGGGAATTTCCATGTGTGCAGCTGTGTGTGAAGAGAGGGATGTGATGAAGTTGGTGCAAGTAATGAGATCAGAGGATGGCATATGAAGGTCACTGGGCTGAGGTCAAATACACAAATTGGTAGAATGAATTGTGTGTGGGGGGGGTGACCTATGATGAAAGTTAAAAAAGAAAAAGAAAAAAAAAGTACTTTGACATTTATCTGTGATCTTCTATAGAAAAAAGAGCATATGTATGCTGATGGGCTCACATACTTAAACATACTGGTACATAGCCAACAGCCATGTCCTTTAAAAAGTACTGGGATGGTTGACTTCATCTGGATTTCTCTGAATATAGGTTGTTGCAAACTGCTGCATGTGAAGAAACACACTGCTATACCCTCAATACATATTTGTTGATATGCAAACAGCACATCTTTACATATTCCACTTACAACCTGCCCCTTCCAAAAAATTACTCCTCGTTCGGGGGGGTTTGTTTAGGGGTAAAGGCTGGGGTAAGTTGACAAGTTAAACATTTTGTTGAGAGCTACTAATGGAGCAGCATGATGAGGCTGCTGGACAACAGGATGACGGGATGGAGCGTTCATCATAAGAAGGCAGGCTAAATTTCACATTAAAAAATAAATAAAATGAGATGCTGCACACATGCCCAGAGGCTTACTGTCAGTGGGATGTAAATAACTTTTTCAATAAGAATCAGGATTTTAATCGCAGGTTGCAACAAGGTGCTATTCCAATTTGTTTAATAAACTGATGATCAGTAAATGCGAGTACCTCTGTAAAATCTAAAGCTGTGAGAACATTCAGGTTCAAGCAATGCCAAAGAGGCAAGAATGTAATGCTGATTAATGCTTCAATGTGTGGTTTGGATCTGTATATTCATGAGAGCTGTTCTCCGCTTGTGCACCCATATGTGCCAGTTAGCTGAAGAAGAGTATGTCACGAGAAGGGCTGCAACAACTTACAAAAAGTTCCTCTCTGCGGAACACCAGCACTAAAACCTCCTGCCAACTGTCAAGCATAGTGGTCAAAGAAAACTTTTCTTCTTCTTCCACTGGCTGAGAAGTGATGGGTGATCTAGTCTGTTCTACTCATCACAAACTTCTTGATACGCTCTTCCTCCACCAGTATGGGTCTGTCCTCACCCAGCTAAAGGTCAGGATCATATGAAGACAGAGATGTAGTTATTGACACACCTGAGAATAGATCATCAACGAGAATCCCTTAAAATTAGCCTTTTTTTCTTAAATAAAGAACTATTCATATTTGCAGTCAGAGCTGAATGCCTGATCAGACACAATGCTAACCTTGACCTACTTCTGACCCTGCTGTTTTGTACATCTGCCATGATAACAGCTTCACATTGTGCCTCATTTAAATACAATTATCTATCTAATGGAGCTTTACACAAGAAGCAGCTGATTAAACTTGCAGGCCCACACAGAGGTAATTTCACAAAAGCACTTTTAATCGTATCATCTCTTGTGAGGATAGCGGCAACACAGACAACAAGAGCGTTCACGCACCTGTTTCCTTTTACCAGTGCACATTCTTTACAAGTCATCCAGCTCCTCCACAAACCAGCCAATAATCTGTAACACTTCATACTCTGCTGACATTCCGCTGCTCTCACAGAGCAGATACACACACACGGATACTCCCATCTGTGCTTTAATGGGTTCCAGTAGCTTTTCAAACGATGATGCAATTAACACCTTCTCTCCACAGCCATTTTTCTGCTCAGCAATCTGCTTTTGAAGGAGAGTTCAGCACAATGTTTACCTAAGAACATGAAACCAAAGAAGTCTCTGAATTAGCAGAAACACACCAGATGTGTTACAGACTTGTCAAACTAAATCCCATCAGCCGAATATATTAAAAGCTTTCGGACGCTAAATTGTTTGCGACACCCTGATTTCAAGTTATTTTTGTTTCTCTGAAAGTGCCTCTCGGGGGGCCTGTGGGCATTCTGTGTGCCTTGTATCTCCCGCAGTCGTATCCACTTCAGGGATAAGATTGGGATGGCAAGTTTTGACATACATAATGATGACAGCTGTCATGGCTGCTTCCAAGGCTATAGGAGAGAAGGGTCACTGATGTATTCTTCTCAAACACCCATTATCAAAGTTAAGGCTCCCCCCCCGACCAATGAGAGGGGAGACTGAGACAGTCAGGAGAGTGGGGAACCCGTCTCTTTTCCTCCTGAAACAATCCAATTCGTCCCTCCTCTCTTTAGCCTGTCACCGTCATTTAAAAAATAACTTAATGCATGGTTGATTCCCCCCACCCTCTCCCCTTTTCCTACTGTTCTTGCCCCCCCCCCCCCCGCCCCCTTCCCTTAGGGCCTACAATCCATGGCTGTGTAGGAAGGAAGAGGGAGCCAAGGATGGAAAGAAAGCTGAAGGTAGCCAGGAGGTTCAGGGGAGAGGAGGGGAGTAGCTAGGCCTGGGACTGGAATTTTAAGCTCAAGTACAAAGGTCATTAGAGCAGCGCAGTACAGACTGATGGCACATGACAACAGGACATGTGTGAGTTTAATGCTTAAGCACAGTCTGCAAAGCCTGCAGGGCCACATGACAATGGGGCCTTATTCTGTGCAAATGATTAGGGAGACTGAATGTGCGGGAAAATATGCACAGGAAATTTACATTCCAGGCTACAGTTTGCAGGTGTTCAGAGTCAGCCCATTAAGCAGCCCGTTTTCTACATACAAAATATTTCCTCACAATATACAATTCTTTTAGAATCAAATCCTATGCTGAGATACAGCGCTATTCAAATTTCTCATACTCTATTATTCAGCACTTCCTCAAATAAACTTAAAATGCTAAACAGTAGCCTGTTGCAAGTCTGAGAAACTGGTAACAATTTTGGACTGCAACACACTTAGGACAAAATGCTGGCAAACATAAGACAGGAAGGGCATGGAGGAAATTAGCGTGGCCGGTGTGTGAATTAGTCTTTAGATCAGTGGACATTTGGAGGACCAACCATCACACCGTAGCCTCGCACATACACTGACGCACTCACACTAAAAATGTCACTTCATTCCTAGACACATAGCCATGCAGCCTCCTTTGTCTACTGTCTTGCTTGTGTCTGTGACCTGTGACAGGAGTCAGATCTTTGTCAGACTGTGTCAGCATCCAGCAAACAAACAGCCTCGGGCACCATGCAAACCGCAGCATCTGGGCGCACAGCTGGGGTGAGGTTAACTGTCTGTTTACAAGACGAACCAGTGCAGAATGCCCCAAACCATGTGGGGTTTTGAAGGTAAGAACATCCCTGTTAGCATCACAGAGTCTTCAAAGGACAACTGGCCAACACACAAGTCGTGTTTAATGATGGTCAGGTTTAATACTTCTCTGTTGAGGGGCATGGAGTGGCAAAAACACCAAATCTCCATATTTCCTTTTTCTTACGGAAAGCACACACTCTCCGCTGCGATGAGTCATTGTTTGCGGCATGGTAAGTAACTATAGCCCGGTCTCTCTGGTGGGTCCTGCCGGTGGAAAAACTGAACCAAAAGCAGAACCTGCATCGTATGGCTAACTATTAGAACAGGGAGAAGAAGAAAAAGAAAAAAAAACAGAGAGAAAGGAAATTCCCACAAAGTCAGGTCTTTCCTAATGCAACAACTAGTGGGAAGAACCGTACTTTAATCCCATTTAAAATATTCTCATTCTACACAGAACATGCTCTTGTCAACATTCAGTTACAGGGTTTCTTTAATTTTCCGTGCTAAAGTGAAATTAAATTACAGGAACAAAAAGCGACAAATTCCAGTTCCACTTTTTCGTAATTTGCCGTCAATAGTGTCTTCCTCACTCATCCTCCACTAAATCCATTTTGGCTCAGGAAACGCCAACGGATGGTGCAATGTAACATGGAGTTAACCTCTAATCTGTACGGAAGCTGTTGTGGGCTCATCGGTTACCATTCCTATCAGTCGTCTGTTCAATTTTTAATCGGTTTTCCTCTGGCAGCCACGCTCAGGGAGGTAGGCTCAATTAAACTTCTGAATAATGTGGAACTGTGGTCACAGGAGCACCAAGCTGTTTGGACATTGTCTTTCATCTTTTACATACCTGTGAATTATGTTATTTACCTCCTGAGATTGATGTAGTACATTATACCATGTTAGTTATCAATTAAATGTTCCATTTTCCTCAGTCGGAGGCCGTGATACTTTGTCCAAAACTAAACAGATGGGTGTGAATGTGTTTGCTGAAGGGCATCCAGACAGATTTAGTAAGAACTGATTTGCACTCAATATTGAGATTGACAGCACAGAAGGAGAACAGTTTGAGCCAGAACAACCACATGATGTCAGACTCAAAGTGAAGCTAAATAACAGGTATATGGCAGGGGCAGTCCAAATCTGACTGACGGGAAATGGTTTCTGACTGAACAATAGAAGGTGACAGTCCACTATTTGTGTCAAAGCATGGCTAATCCTTAGCTTCGGCAACAACTCGATACAAAAACAGCCGTGCTGTTTGTTAGGGCAGCGTCTGATTACAGGGAAGAGGGGGAACAGTGCAGCAGAGCTTTAATATGCACATTCCCATCACCCAGACTCACACACACACATTCAGGGGCTGACAGTAAATGAGCTGAAGCACAGCAGTCAGGCTGGAAGGAGCTCATTGCCGGTTGCTACATTCAAAGACAGGAAGTTATCGCAGTGGTAGTTCCATCACTTGGTAAAAAGCCGCTACATTTGTCTAGCTTTCCTCACTAAACTACCAGATTTGTGATCAATGATGCCAGAGTTTCTTCATTTCACTTGAATCTGATACAGCTGTGCTGGAGAATGCTGTACTGGGAGGCTTTTGATCCCCCATTACAGAGTCCAGAACAGTGGTTCTCCTTATACGGCGTTCTCATTTGTTTGCTTGGCTCAGAGGCAGACGCACCCAAACATCACTGCATCCAAATGGTTAGGCTAATCAACTGTGGGTTAGTTTGACTCATACAGATAAAGGGAGCCGTCCTCTCTATAAGATCACTGCGTCAGCCTTTGAGCGTTTAAAGCGGTTCTGATCAGTGCAATGACAGTTGATTATTTTGTGAAGTGTGTAACTCTTCAGAGCACAGACGTCCAAATTTTGGCGTGTAAATTCTAAGGCCACATGTCACTTGGCCTCTGATAGGAGATATCCTCTCTGGAGCTCATTTGCGTAGTAGGGAAATGTGTGGCTGCATATTCAGGCAAGCCTTTTGTTCCACATCATGCTCACAAAGACGGTTTAAGGGTTTTGCCTTGGGGATTTAATGCTCAACCAGATGTAAATATATATTCCTTTTATAAAAAAAACTAGGCCACAGAAGTCACTAAGAAAAATCTCAGAACGAATAGCTCTGTGGACAGTCAGTTTTCTTCCTATAATGAATTAAAATAGGTTACATCTGTAATCCTCCATCTCAAAACTTTTGTATTTAACTTGCACGATGAGCTCTATGGGTCAGCCTCGACTATCTCAGGGGGTTTAAATACACTCCCTTCTACTGATACACTCCCTCCCATGTTCAAACAAAGGCTATCCTGGTAACGCAGCTTAGCTTAAGCAAACAGCGTGCACCTGCTGGACCCTAACTTTACTTCTTCCCTCCTCTGTGCACCCACTCATCTCTCCCTCTTTCAACGGCCATGTGACGCGCTGTGTCAACATTAGCTGGACCCAAACAAACAAAATTAAAACGGCATCTGCACACTAAGGGCAGCAGTCGGCCAACCCTCCCGTCGCTTCCTAGTTCCTTTGTCGTCGAGACCCCGAGAGGGAAACTCCAGCCCCGCTCTTGTTCGGTCCTCCATAAAAGTCAACAGAGAAAGTTTATGGTCGACAGATGCTTGGCCAAAATGAGGCTGCGTCCCCCCTCTTCTATCTCCTCCTCATCCAAGGAAGGGGCTTCACGGTCACCAGCGGCGACCCGGAGTTAACCTCCCACCGAGTTGCCATGGAAATGGAGGAGTGGAGAAAAAAGGGAGGAAGCCAGGGAGTGGGAAGTTATGACCCAACGGAATGAGGAAAGAGAAATGCGGAGCAGAGCGGAGTCTGTCTTTTTACGTCCAATTGTCTCTGTCCGACACTCTGCGTCTCAACGCTGCCGTCATTTTTGTCCAGTCACCTCCAACACATACACACACATACAGACTCACACACACACTCACACATTGCTGTAGTCTGTTCCTGGCCTCAGCTTTAAGCCAGCATTTTTTCCCCCTGAGTCTTATCAGGCAAACTGTAGTCTGTTCTACCAGTCACAAGGGGATCTTTCTTTCTAGCCCTAACCCTTACCACTGCTGGCTTCCTCTGAGACAATCGCTCAGGACCCTGATCCTGAGTCAGAATACTAATGAGATCAGAAAATACTTTTTTTTCAAATGTTCCTTTTCCCTATGCACTTCAGCTGGTGAATTTTAGAATCATCCCTTCCAAAAATACCTATCAAGCATAGTTCTGTTGTGTGAAGACACACAGCTTACAACACACAAACATACACATTCCCACCCTGCCTCACAACCACATCTAGTACATCTTAATGCCTCTTTCAGTGCAGGGATTGAGCAACTCAGACTACAACATTCAGAACAGCTCAAAAACAACAGCTGGTGATAAAGATGAGGATGATGAGACAGGGCGAGAGCACAAAGAGAAAGAACAAGTGACGAGTGACCAAGTTGAAATCCACCTGTTGAGCGGACCCAACAGGTGGTTAAGTCTACATCCAGCCAAGAAACGGCATCACAGGGGGAAAAATAAAACATTCCAAACAAAGCAATGACAGGACTTTAGGATGCGACTAATTCCTGGGCTCTACGTCTGAGGGAATGAGAAGAAGAAGAAAAAAATGGAGGGGCACAGCTGTAAATCTGCCTTGAAAAAATCTGACGAGCAAAGAGTGGGCCTCTGGCAGCTCATGAGCAGCTGTGGGTTCGGGGCAGTGAGAATAAAAGTCAAGGTTGGTCTCAGTCTGACGCCCGGCACCCAACACGCCACACTGTTATTTATACAGGCACAAGAACGGAGAGCTTTTGGTAGAATTTTGAACAGGACTTGGGCTACAAAAAGTAATGAACATAAATATAACACACGGGCAGCACGTGGGGGCAGTATTTTGTTTCAAAGAGGATGAAATAGACATAAAAAAAGCTACATCTCAAAAAACATGAATCCGTCTCTGACAAAAACTGTAATAAAGCATTAATAACTAAACATTCAGTCCCAAAACTGTCGCAAGGATGTGAATCCTTTATAAAGGATTGAAACTTTAGTCTAAGGGGGAAAAAATAAATAAAAATTGGAACAGTTTAGTCAAAATGAGTGTGACTGAAGGAAACAAATCAATGCAATGGAAACAAAGCTTAGTCAAGCAAATGGAATCCTTACCTGGAGTCTCCTTTCCCAAGGTTACCTCCGGCAGGGTGAAGGATCGTCTGGTTCTTCGCCATTTCCACAACGCATTTTGTGTTCAATTCCTTCTCTGTTGATCAAACAACACGCACTTTTACTACAGACACAAATATCTTAATCACCAGTTGTGAGTTGTGTAAACACGCCAAAATGTTCAACTTTCCAGGAATTCTGGAGACAATCTTTCAGTGAAACTGGTAATTATGTCTGAGCATTAGAGATTGAGCACAACTTAAAGGTCAAGCATCAATGTTAAAGATTCAAGTGGGCAAAGTGGGAACCATGCACAATCTGAAAGAACCTTTGACCTTGGAGTAGGCAACTCAGTAAAAACACGACCAGTCTAGGCTCTTTCATACACACACACACACTTGACACACTTCTCTGACCCTGGCCTGTGTGTCATGATGTAACACTTTGCCTTTAGATATACAGCTTAGGGAATCACAACAAACTACCATACTAAGGTCATTCAATTTACCCATTTTATAACCACTAACCATTCAGTATTACCCGATTTTCAAATAGTAAACAAACCCGAGTTATTACAAGCCTCCTATCTCCATCATTGTTGTACAAGTGTAATCGGCTACTTTAGAAACGTTGTTTCTTGCTCATTTCGTCAGACATCATCCTAACCAGGGAGTTGTCTGCCTGCTGATCCAGTTTTATCAGAAAGCCACGCACCGCTGGCTCATGATAGATCTTTATCCAACTTCCAGCTTTCTTTTGCTCGGTTTCTTCAATTAGATCTGGAATGTCAGTCTTCGGACTTTAAGGTGGACGGTGAACAAACAGTCGACCAAAAGGCTTCAACTTTCATTGTTGATCTGCTAGCTTCAACGTGAAAAGGTTGGTTCCTGCATCAAGAATTTAAAGTCTTAAAAAGCCACAAGAAAGAGATCATTTGGGACTTTGTTTGGTCTGTTTTTGTGGTCAACGGTTTTGGTCACATTAGCTAAAAATGTTGTAGAGAAGAAAAAAACAAAACAGTGGTAGTAACCAATTCAATGATAATAGCTAGATTTAAAAAACAAAAATAAAAAAAACTTTTAACAGGACATAAATCAATAACGGCAAAAAAGCTCACATCACCACCACCAGAAAGCTGGTAGAATAGGCAAAAAAAAACAAAATAAACAATGGCAAAGTCTTAATATTTTACCTGGCTGATAAGATAAGATGGGAAACAGGATTCTTTGCTCGCATGCCTTCCTCTGGTGAGGAGGACATCCTCTCGTCTATTTTACTAGAGGTCAGAGGTCAGGGTTGGAAGCACACTCCTTCAGTAATCAGCATTTGCTCATGGACCCTCGCCGACAATAAACGCCGCTCTTCAGCAACAGGACCGGGCTCAGGACCCAAAGCAAACGTGCCCCTAACCCAGATTTTTAAATGAGGCAAACCATGTATTATCAAAGAGAAAGTTGAAATGCAGGTGCATTTGTGTTAGTAGTAATGTTTAGCCAATTGTTTGGAGACAAGCTGATTTTTTTTCTTTTTATTATCCATGAACTAATAAAGAAGGGTGTGAATAACTTTTTTTTTTTTTTAATTGTTAAGGCCCTGTTGGTTTTGGTGACCTTTATCTGAAAGTAGCTTAGGATGGAGTAGGGAAGAGAAAGACAGAGGGGAAAAAAAAACACAGCACCTTGAGACAGACTCAAACCCAGGCCACCCGCACAGGAGCATTCAGCCTCTGTACACTTGCCACCTACTCTCCCCTCTGAACTAAGGCAAGAGCGTGCAGATATGCTGTTCATTAGCAAACGCGATGTGTTAAGACAGGAAAGTGTCTGTAGTTTCAATTCCTTGCTGCTGCATCACACAAACTGCCTTTTTTTTATGACTGAGGTGCGACTACTGTAGAGCAAGAGAGCGCACAAGCAGTGCAATCCACTAGACAGGGTAAAGCTCACGGCTGCTTACCATGTGCTAATTGCTACAAACTTCTGAGCAAACAATGCACAAGCCTGGGTGGATTTATGCGAACGGAAGTCAGCTATTTTCATGAGGCCTTCCCTCCACTTGTCGCTTAAAAGAAAAGCATTTTTGCCCCATGTGAGTATTTCAAACTTCTGCATATTGCCGTCTTCCTTCTTTCCTAGCACATAGGTCTCCCTACTGTATTTGGCTGGAGCATGCTTGTCACTTTTCTAAAAAAAAACTACCACTATCACTTCCCATCCTAAGACACAGAGGGTTTCCAACTGAAAACATTTGTTGTGTCAGATCAAACTAGTGACATGATTTCTTTCTTTTTTTTTTTTTTTTAACTAAACTGTTTCAAGAGAAAGAATCCTTCTGTCGCTAGGGTAACACGGGTAAAGCCATGGAAACTTGACGTCAAAATGTCAGAGGGTCCAAGTCCCCCTCCACTAATTCTGCTGTCTAGGAAACTCAAAAGCAAAAAAAAAAAAAGGCTGACACTGACACAGAGGGCTTCGGAAAGATGTTTTCCTTTCTCTTCCTGCCTACAACACCCAGCAGCCCCTTCTCCACTTCCCTCTCCGCAGAGAGGAAAGTGTGATGCCATATAATGGGAGGATAAATGTACCCATTGTTATTGGCCTCTTTGTTGGTCCATAACCAGCTCCTACTTTCCACTGGCCTTTTCTTTCTGCCTTCCGACTTGGTTCAGGTTGGACACAACAGGCCTGACATCGGCCAGGAAGCTCACTGGCTGCTGCGCTGCCGTTGCTACGCCGGAGGTTGCTCTGTTCTTCGAAGGCCACAGCCATGGGAACTTGGGAGCATTATGCAACGTTTAGCAAATACTCGTTTCAGACTCCCTCCCTTCCTGCCTTTGTTCGGCCAGGCAACAGGCAAGCGACGCCACCTCTCCTCCTCAACGTGAGATACAGGGGGACAGTGGTCTCCTGATTACAGGTGCCTGCTCAGTTTTGGAACTAAATCACTGCACCGTGTCTCCAAGTAGTCATGTGACGGCAGAAGACGGGGGGAAGCGCTGTGCTGGAAGAGAACAGCTAAAAGATGTGCAGAGACCTGATTGATTGTGACCGGCAGAGAGCGTAGGGAGAGAGATTTTTTTGTTAGGGCTGAATGCATTTTTATGTGAACTCCTTCAGCAGAGATAAATGATAGAAAAGCGTCCATCCCACTGAAGCACTGAGTGGACAGAGGTAGTACTCACTCAGAAAATACCAGGGAAGCAGCAGTGGAAATGTGGTGCAGCTGGCTCCAAACCCATTCCGTTGGCCTTTACTGAGACATCAATTTCCATACTAATTTCCCCATTAACAGACTTTTTTTTTTCTTCAGTAAACAGAAACAAGGAGTAAGGAGTACTTTGAAACCACGGTGGGAAATCTCTTGCTTGCTATAACTATAACAAATATTTTTTCCTCAGTTTTTTAAAACCGAGTTAAAACATTTTTAACTCAGACTAGCTGCAGCTAGCTGAAGCTGTTAACAAAAATTTGTAAATCAATTGCTCATTTACTAAAATTCAAATTCCAAGCTCCAGGTGAAATTTTTTTTAATGAAAAAAAACAAAACTGACACCATATAATGTCATATTTAGGAAATTATTGGTCAATGAAATTCATGGCTCAGCTTTTTCAGGTAAGTGGTGGTTAGATTCCTAAGTCTCTGAGGAGTTAAAAGCAACTCAAACAGTTGCTTTTGCTGAGCCTTAACATTTTCATTTACTGTACCTATTGTTATTCACAACTAATAATATAATAACAACTATCTCAATACATTAGCAGGATGATAGCAGGATTTTCTACCGACAGTAAATATAGTGCCCCCCTCTACATCCCTAAAAAAATTACTGTATATCAAAACCCATCTAATGTAAACAAACTAGTTCTTATGAAGGTAAATTTAATGTCTGACTTTGCAGAGTCATGACTCAAACAGTTTCTCTGACAGTAGAGTAACTTCACATTAGTGTTGATGGTAAATCCCTGCCTATGGGAACAGCGCTGTGAACCACTGCCTCGATCTTGTGACCAAGACCTCCAGCTCAGAGGAGAATGAGAGAGGAAAGGGGGGTGGGGTGGGGGGTACACACATGCGATTAATTCTGGCAGTTGCCGGTCAACCACTCCGCCTCCTCCTCCTCTTTTCATGGGACACATGGTATCCCACGGCACAAACGCGACTTGGCAATCAACCAGGAAATGTCATCTCTGCCTTCCTATGCAGCTCTGAAAATCTGCTATATAATGGAGTGGAGTACTGGAGCGTGAATGAAGATTTGTGTGACACTGTGCCTTTGTTATTCGAGCTGTTCTGAAATGAGACATGAAGACACGGCGATAAGTAGCAGCCCTGGGAGGATGAGCGGATACATGAGCGGCGGGGTGGTGTTTCAGAAAGTGACAGCATGAGCAAAAGAAAGCCTTTGTTGTGAAAAGAACATCACTGCGAGAACTTAATTTGTAGCAAATGACCCCAGTTCACTGATTCTCCAAACCACTTTTCACACCCCCTGCTGTCATTTTTAAGAGGGGAAAAAAAAAAGAGCCAGTCAAGTCTTCCAGCGAGTGACATATTATGTGGCGAAGCTGCAACCATCTCAATCAGCCAGTAAGTGAGACAAAGCAGCTCACACATCAGCTTGGCTTTAAATCTAGCTGGATGGCTGGCAGCCATAAGGGAAGCCCTGTGGCAGCACTGTATAAACATGTGCCATCCAGACCTGCCAGGCAAAAGCTTTTTTTTTTTTTTTCTCCTCCTTTCATTTACATTTGCGGCATCTCATCTCACTAATGGCTAGTGATTTCTGACTGCCGTCCATTTACAAGGAAGTTAAACAAGGAGTGCTTGAGTCAGGCCAGTCTCCTGTGGACAAAGTCTTTATGGGATGCAGTCAGTGTGTCCTACAACAGGACAAACTCAACCATGATCTCACATCCAGCATGTGGAGCCACGTATCAATGTTAAAGTGGACTTTAAGACCCTGACTCAGCAGAAGTGTTGGATTTTTTGAGAGAAAGCGAAACACAGATGACATTGGGTATCCCAGCAGACTGGAGGAGTTCCCTCACCTCTCCTGTTCATGGGCCGTACACGCACAGCCACCTTGACATTGGAGTCGTCCAGGCTGGGCTCCCCCATGCTGACTCCTTACTCCAGGAAGGGAAAGCGGCGCCGGTCCAAAATAAAATCAGCTCCTTTGCTGAAAGATCATCTAAAACCCCTTGAAATGTCGCGCTAGCCGGACTGTCGACCGGCTAGCCCCTAATAGCTTTGTTCCATAGACCAGGCATGTCCACGGGAAGGAGGGGGAAAAAAAACAAAAAAACAACAAAAAAAACCCTTGGCAGAATCCCGCAGGAAAGCCAGTGCAAGCCGATGCTTGTTTTCTCCTCCGTTCACATCCCAGGCTCGTTTAAATCCACAGGGGTGCGGGAGCTGGAATGGAAATGAGAAATGTGAATGTGACCAGACATCGCCAGAGTGTTGAGAATGAGCAAACATATGGTATCTGCAAGGCAAACAAAATAAAACGGGCTAGCCAGCTAATTTGCCAGACAAGCTGAGGTGGAGCAGCGGCAGGAAGGGAGCAGGTTTTTTTTTTTTTGCCCACTGCCGAACATTTCCCAGCATAACATCCCCTGCCGGACCCCAATCATCGAACAACATACCCAAGTGGATTCATCCCAGAGGTGACACCGTAACCTACAAAGACAACAGCGAGAGATCCACAGGAAACAACCTGGCGATGATCTACAGCTTCCCAACGGAATTCAGCGTCCTCCCTTTTGTCGAGCTACAACAGTTAGCAGCATCCGCTCTTCCGCCCAGAATATGTGCCCTTCAAATTAACAGAATCTAGTTTCATCTATGAAAACATGTATCCAGTCAAAAACACGTCGTCTAGAAGTTAGAGACACTTGCTTTGTAGGAAGAATAAAAAAAAAATAACTTACCCGAATAATTAATAACATAAACCGGAAATTAACTAGCCAAACTCGTATTGTCTATACTAAAGCAAAGTCGAGAGCATGGCTGGCTAAATAACAAATCAGTTAACATGATACTAGCCTTTTTTTTTTTTTTTTTACCCCATTCCTTGGTTTAAAAGTTTACTTTGCGGTTGCAGCAACCTGTTTCCGCCGGGAACGTCAAAAAGCACAAGCCCAGCCGGGAACCGTTTTACGGCAAATTAGAAAATGGAAATAGTTACTCTTCACATTTGGTTATTATCGAAATAAATATTCAGCGAAAGTTTAAAATCTGTCCAGGGGGAAAAATCAAGAAAACGAATCACTATGCCACACTTTCTGGAGTTAGAGTAGAAGTTAGTTACCAAAGCGCTCGAGACCACAGCAAGTCACGCGACATTTCCGTCGACGACCACTACTGCAACATATGTCAAAAAAAGAAAGGAAAAGGTGACACTTCCCATCGTCTTCAAAATAAAGACTGCTGAGTCAACAGCTGTAACAGCTGAATTATATAAACGGATTCTGTTGAGACATTAGGCGACCCACCAGACGACTTCCCTTACAGGTACGCAAAACATCACCAAATTCTGAACGTTACACAAGGCTTCAGACATCCTCACCCGTTGCACACTCTAAACACCTAGAGAGCGATTACATTTCTAAATAAATATATCCAAAGACAATAAATGGTTGAGAGGATAGACCATGAAGAAGTTTAAAAAAAAAACCAATAAAAATAATTTTTGCAAGCACCGCTTCGGATATTGCGGTTTTCAACAAGCATTGATTCATTTGTCATGATCCGTTTGCACTCCCTTTTATTTATTCAACATTTTGTACAGTTGAATAACTTTTTTTGTCTGAATGGTTTTTGACAATTTTAGCTTGCAACACATTAGAAGTACCGGAAGTACAAGCATGTTACGAATGAAACAATCAACTTTGATTTTCTTTTTATTCCATGGGCTTCAAAACTGAATATTTTCTGACCCCTGCTGGAGAGAATCTGAACTGCAATCAAAACGTCAGCTTGGCCTGGCCTTTTGAATGGTGAGCGACTGTATATTGTTTGTTTGTGGCCTCAGATTTTAAATGGTTAATGGACTTGTATGGCGTTTTTCTAGTTAGTTAGACTCAAAGAGACATGGCCACTTCAAAGCACCTTTACACCAAATGCTATTCACTACTGCACCAGTGGATGCACTGGTAGGCCTTCTGATCGTAGACAACTACTCTTCCTCCTGAGCTAATGGATAAATCTATATCCCACCAAATCATTTGGCTGCCACTATATGATTCTGACTAATAAACACTGTCATACAATTTTGACCCTAAGTACACTGAGAAAGTAAAAGCATCAGAGAACAATATGTGTGGGTGCAGAACAGGGTTCAAAGGTTGAAATCTTCACAAATGGACCCCCTTCCATTAAGAATTGGAGGAAATGTCTCATTATTTTAAGTCTGCAAAATGAAAAAAATAACAGCACCAAGCTGAATCAGCTGGATCATCAGGGTTAAATGGACAGTCCTTAAGTCCAGAGACTGATCTTATTTGTCTGCCTTTCTGGAAAAACACAGATGTTTAAAAAGGACCTGTATTCATTGTTCCTTGAAGTTGAAAGTAGATACATATCTTTTCTGTTGGAGAGCACCTACAGAAAGAGTACAAGCTGCAAAAGCACATGTTTAGTGGAGTAGTTAAGACCAGTAGAGGATGCTGTGCAGCAGCAAAACACACCATCCTGGATAAAGATATATTACACTTTGAGAAGAGCTTCTTTTGTGCAGTGAACTCACTGCACGGAAGCTCTGATTGTGTCAGAAGAAGAAAGTGTTGAAGGTACAGACTGTTCAAGCCGACCACGAAATGCTTTAGATGGTACACTGTACTACCAAGTGGTTTGGATAGAAAGCAAGATCCTATTTTTCAAATACTACAATTTTATAGAGCAAATTTCTGTATTTCTTTCTCTACTCAACTTCTTTCTATATAGCTTATTGTTCTAGATATATCATTGTTATATATAGCAAATGAAAAAATAAACAAACTTGAGAATGTTTTGGAAAACTGGAAAGTCAATAAAGAGAGAAACGGAAAAATCAAGAGATTAAAAATTCAAAACCTAAATAATAATTTACAGAATTCTCTGTGCTACTTTAACTGACGTAATCATCATTACTTTTCTCAATTAAAGGGTCCGTATAAGGCCTTATGTATTTCCCTCTCAGTCTTCTGTTCCCCCACCCCATCCCTTCCCTCTCCAGTGACTCTCACATGACGTATGTGAATACGCAAGTGCTGAGAAAAAGTGAACAAGGGGATTTCAAATGATTGCTGAAAAACACCACACCTTTAATAGCTAGGAGAGCTCAGGATAGAAGATTTAAACAAGTAGGGCTGACAGGGTACAGGGGAAAGAAGAATATAATAAAGCATGTCTGTATTTATAACAAAATACATTTTATATTCAACTCATAAGTTAATTTTTTTGTTTAAATGTATGTGTAACACCACAGGATGAAACCTAAAACTCCAGGAGTAAATAAGGATTCTCAGGCCTTTTTTTTCTTAAATGACCCAGACGTGGAAGTATATTTAGAGCCCTCCTGTTTTTAATGTCAATAATTCTCAATGAGCATGGTCCACTTAGGCTGACGAGGAATTAGCCCCTTGTTATCTTCCCCACACAGATGCATGGAGTATATACGTGTTAAATTAGAGGTCAGGGGGACCATGAAGTAAGGAAAAGAGTGTGTGAATAATAAAGGTGTACTTAATTAAAATCACCTTTTTTTAAAAATACGGCTTCTGATCAAATATTTCTCGTCAATTAATCATTAAGAATTGGAAAGGAGCACCTATAGATAGAAAAATCAGAAAGGTTACAGAGGTAACTGAAAAAAATACAAAAAAATCCCAATCATTACAGTTTAAGTTTCTAGCCTGAATTTATGCAGATTATTTGAACATTAGAAGAGGTATAACCTGAAATAATGCATATGTGAAAAGACATCAATATACAATTAAACAGATCTGACTTACAAACAAATTCTGCAACCCTTAGAGTTCAGCCTTTCAGTTTTTTTTTCATCGTAATTGAAAAAGAAATAAAAAGTCAAGTTTATGTGACTAAGAATTAATATTCTAACATAAAATGTATATTCATGTCTTAAAAATATTGCAATAAAAAAAAAAGAGTAGTCTGTCAGAAAAAGATCAGATCAAGCCCAAAGTTGAAGAAGACTTAAATATCTTTACCCTGACGAAAAAATCAGTTTTTTTCGATGGAACACAACAGGGATTATAGGCATTGTCAAATATTCATAGTCAAAAGGAAAATGCCATGAAAATTAATGGGAAACTTAATAGGGAATTACTGAGGAAGTACTTCGGTAATGACAACCACAGTGATGTTCAAAGGAAGACACTGATAAACACATCCCATGACTGTCTAGGCAAACTTTCAAGACCATTTAATGGAAATTAAGATATTTCCGCCTGAAGAACTGACCTGAATTGGGACCATTTCCCTTCCTTTTTAAAGATTTTGATAAAGTACACATCAATTCGCAGAAATTATACTCTGTGTAAGAAGTTGCGTTATTAAGTCGTCTCACATTTAGCTGTCAAAAGTCCATTATTCTTTCAACATCTCTCTGTCCCTGTGCCGAGTATACACATAGCGTACACGTGTCCTGATTCCACATGAAAAGTAATGATGAGCGTGCGCAGGAAAAGAAGTTGAGTGCTGTTGTGTACTTCTTTGGCTTTGTGTGAAAGTGTGTGTTTTTTTCTGTGGGTGTGGTGGTTTGAGTGATAAGGGTGGAGGGGAAGGTCTGAATCCCTTATCTGTTCCTTTGTTAAGATGACACGATTACAGTAATTGTTCCGGCTACTAATCGGACCAGTGTTGGAGATGGTGTGTGTGTGTGTGTGTGTGTGTGCCAGCTGTGTGTGGCGATTAGACGGATGACTGGAGTTTCCAAAATCCTATCTTCAGCCTGCCACACAAAAAATAGTTCCTTTCTGTGTAGTAGCTCCTAACTGCGTGCATAAATGTGATGGAGAGAATTATTACAGTTGCTGTCTATCTATCTATCTATCTATCTATCTATCTATCTATCTATCTATCT